TATATATATATATATATATATATAATCTTCAGTCCATGCACTATTTTGGAACCTTGGCAAGGAACAGCGTTTTGGTTCCAACCTACATATTGTTATATTAAAACATGCCTTACTTCCTGCCATTCGGCAGCAGGTAACTAATAAAAAATTTTTCGCTACTGATTTCAATAAAAATTTTCAAAAAAACTGCTAGTTAAATAGGAGGGTAGTTTGCTTCTGCCAATTGCGTAACTGAAGAAATACTATTTTGACCTTCCTACCAAATAACTAATTCACTGCGAAAAGTAGAAACCGAATTATCATTCATGCGCCATACGCGTAGGAGGAGTTGGCATATGATGCGGGGAAAGGATATAATAATTAGTAACCCACAATAAGGGAAAACATTATCTGCGGATTTTTCAGAAAATGTGGTACAGTTTTTCCTCTCTTACAAAATCGCCAGATTGGTAAGGGGAAGGGAGGATTACGTCATCATTGGGAAAGGTAGAGCAATGCACCGCGTTAAAAACATCTCATGTGTACTTTGAAGGAGTCGAACCGTTTATCTACGGAAGCTAAACCTAATCTGAGGATACGTTTCTTGATGTTCGTTCCGCTAAAATTCAGAAATTTCGTTCCTCTAGAGGCTACCAGTACTGACTCAGTGCGCGTCTGTGTTATACATCTAAATAAGAAATTCACGGTTGAAGGAGCGTATGCAAATGCGACCACAAAAGACTTAAGGAATCGTGACAAAAGTTACAGGGATGTTACTGAAGTAGTAAAGTGCGAAGTGGAATAAAAATGTTTTTTAGGGCAATGCTGTTCATATCATAAAGTGCCGGAATTAAGTGATTATTTTATAAACTGTTTTCGATAATCGTTATTGGTGACGATATCAGCAGCTGATGATAACAAATGTATGCAAGTTAGTTGGTATAATTTAATCTCTAACCAACTTCCTGCCGATTGTTCCAAGACCCTCCTCCAATGACAAAAAAGACTTACTAAGGCTATTCGATAACTGGAAGATGCACATGTCCAAACTGCAGAAATATTGTATAAGGACTACAAACCTGAGCAGCCTTTTTGCGATGAAGAAAGGTTTGTGATAAATGCCTAGCGTTTTTGAGCAACCGCAAAAAACCTTCTTTTAATCTATGCGAAAACAATTTATAAAATACCCCTCAGGTGACTACAGCCAAGACGATTTAAAAAATTACACAAACAAGTTACAGATAACGAAGATTTCCCAAAACTCATGCTTAATGAAACTTGGACGAGCGAACAAACTAATAAAGATTGAACTTTTTTTTGCCTAAAGAGTAGTTGCTCACAACCTCGCTAAATTTTCCTCCACTCACATTCACTGCTAACAAGCCTTTTTTTTTTTTCAGAAAACTTTCACTAAAACTTTTGTTTACGAGATCAATACGGGAATTCCATCGCACTATACTACAAAATGATGGGACAATAAGAGCAAAAAAAACAGTCACTGTCAACAACTAGCACTTATTTTGCTATGTTCAGCTCCAAAAGATTCAATGAGGCAAAGCGGAAAAGATGGAAAAAGTGACCAAGACAAAAAATTTTGTAAAGAAAATTTTATCAAATAGTTTCAAAGAAAAAAGGTGTAAATCAAATATCTGTCACTGAATTAACAAAACTAGAGCACTTTCCTACATGTTATGAATACTGTTATATCTAAGAACTTTCAGTTGGAATAATAACCCAGTTACTCGCGTCGGCGCAAAATGTTGCTTCAAATGGGGATTTTTTACGGTCTGTTGTCATTAATTACTCCGCAACTCGTGATATTATAAAAATACTACATTTTAATCTTAGTATGTTATAAAACAACAATGCCCCTTAAAAAATTAAAATTTAGATTCAGAAGAAAAAACTTCTCAGTCTTTGTTCTTGATCCACTTTTTCATGTTTTTTTGATATATCCATTTCACCTCTTTCCTGATTCAATGAGTGACGTGCTTTTATACGAAGCAAAAGGTACAAAAACCTATTGTGAATGAACAGAAACTGCAAGTTCCTGAACATAATTATGTTCATGTGCTTTTCTTTGCAGTTTAGAACGATCGGACCTTGCCCACAGCGTACTTCTTGAAACAAAATCTCAATTTTGCAATCAGCTAATAAATTCTATAATTTGGAGAGGACAAAAAAGTCTAGAGGGTCAAAAGTGTACGACACAACATGGATCAGCCTATACACATATACTTGGACTTATTTATTTACTCATGTTTATTTACTTAATTGTTGTGCAAACGCTTCAGTGCCTTAGAAAATTACTCGTGCTAAAAGCTAAAAGGCGCAATGCCTTGCTGAAAAATAGTCTTTTAGAGCGTACCTGTTCAATACTAAACGGTGACGTAACTCCTAAACTTTCTTAGAAACACTGGTAGTAACAACGTAACAAACTTTGCCAATTATTCCTTCAATCAGTGGAACTGAGGAAACTGCACATCAGTCTTAGAAGGTCCTCGGTTCTACGACGAGGATGCGCAAGCTAAATGTGTGAATGTCACCAGTTTATTACGGTTGAAGATATCGCTTCACTTCCTTTAATGAGGAAAAAATTCTTGAAAACTCAAGAAAAGTCAAAATGCAGGAGAAATGTCAATTATTTTATTGAACAAAATGTTGTGAATGAGGCGGAGAAGTTACCTAGCAACGGATTATCTTTAGGTACTACTGACTAATTAACAATGCTTGAAATCCCTAAAGATCAAACCCATTACGCTCTCAAATTTGACGCAGCAATCAGTAAGAGCAATAAATACAAGAATCTGAGGATAATTTTTTACAAGTTAAACAGTTATATTCTCAAACTGGAATGAAGGCATTGTTTTAATTCATATGTTTCCTCGAACTGATTACCGGCTTAGCTTACTCATTTTGCCTTTATTTTCTAAAAACATTTTTATTTTAAAAAAAGTCACCTGCAATAAATGGCGTTCACTATTCTTTTTTTACAGATACACTTTTCCTATTTACCACAAATTTACTTATAACTTTTTCTGTTGTGTGATATCCTCGGATATGTTCGTTACGTGACCAATTCTAAAATGAGAGTTTGAATATCCCATTTTCAGGTCTACTTACAAGATCAAGGGTTCAAAGAATTATCGCATATCCCATAAATACAATCAACTGTCAATTCATTTGCGAACCCCCCAAATAAGCACTAAGAGTTAGCGAAAATAGAAGTTGAAGCAATGACGGAACCTGAAATGGAAACGTTAGTTTCCAGTATCCTAAAGCCACAACTTCTCAATGCCTGCCGTTGAAAGTTCGAATTCTACACCATAATCGAACTCCGCGTGCAATGGTGCAGGTCACAACCATATTTTAGTGCGCCCCCTGCTCGTTACTTCTCAATAGTCTACTTGTGTATTACCTGCCCAACTATTTCTGTTTGCTCAACGATATTTTTACGAAACCGTAATTTACCGTTCTGTCAACATACAATTAGCTACCACATACCATAGTCTCCCATAAGACAGCGAATAAATCTCAATGGGACAGAAATGCAAACACGATGAAGCAAAAAACTGACTTCAAGAAAGAAATGAATTAAAGTTGTGGAGAAAAAGGAGCAATAATGGCAGCTTAGAGAAACATAAGCCACTTCTCTATTTACTAATCCTAAGGCAAGTGCTAAAATAGAAGAATCCGTTATCAAGGAATCAGAACAAAGTATGAACTCAGAAGAAGCGATTACAATGAGTCAACTAGGAACGCTCTTATACAACACCTGAAGCACTTTAACTACTCCTCTAAAGTACTGGGACAGGCAATGAGCACCCAGAACCGGTTAACACCTATAGGGAACAAAGCAGCCTGGTAAATTATCTACGTAAAGCTGAAGTGGCGAACAGGAGAAACTTTGAGTTTGAAAGTCACAGTGGCTCGAGACGTCAGTGCGATGTCTGAAGTTTACTAACACAATCGCAAGATTCTTTCGGAGATACAGAAAGTGACTTATTTAATAAAATTATTACAAGAGAAAACAATAAAGGTTGTTTTGACCATCAACTTTGTAGTAGCAACTATGCCGTCTCAATTCTGGTTTAGGAAAAGAAACGAGGATTTAAGATGGGAACTACGCACTACTCAGCGCCTGATGACTATCGACTAGACAAGGTGCAAGGTTTACATCAGTTATGCAGAGAACTAGGTCTGAAGGCAGTGGCGATGATTAGAGCAAAATTTTCGAAATGGCTTTTGCTAAGGGTTGTGAGCACTAATCCACCGACTAGCAGTAGCCAACAAAAACTCTAAAAGACCACTTGAGAAAGCACCACTTTTTTAGGAAAACTATTCAAAGAAAGTCTCCAGGTACAGAAAACGTCACCCAAACCCACTAAAAAGCGAGAATGTCAGAAAATTTAGCGTCCTGCACTTAGGCGTCTTCTAAAAAAATCTCTTGGACCAGTACGAATGAAAAACTTTAATGGACAGCAAAAATCACTAGAATGATGTTTGTACTAAAAAAGCGGCTTTATAAAGCAGAAGTTTCATCTCAGTCATGAAAGCTCTCTGCAAAAGTTTCCGAAAGGGTCACTACGCAAAACAGTACCAGAAGAAAATAAAATTTTCTACCGTGAAGGAAATGGCAATAAATTTCTTACTGATACGAAAAAACTGAAAAATTCGAACAAGCACAGAAGCTCGTTACGGCATTACAACAGATTAAGTGAGAAATAATACTCACAGCCAGAAACGTCGAAGATTTTAATCCATGACACCAGAAACAAGACATTTTAATAGCGTTACCCGACTCAGGACTAACAGGCGACCACATTCAAGCAACCTAACTGTAGGCCTTGAATTGAGACGACTTTACCAAACTACTTGCAGCAAACAAACTCTTGTGCAAAGAAATCCATTTACATCTGCCAAAGTGTCAGTAGTAATCAAGAGAGAGTTACGAAAACTATTATCGCTCGCCGCAGGTTTTGCCATCAATGAAGAAGAGGGAGTGCGGCAAAAAAAGAACACACCTGGAGCGTTTGCAGAACCTTTCCAAGAAATCCGAGCTGCGGAACTCGGAATTGGTCGAAAACGCAACAGTTGGTCTTATGAGACTGGATTTCCAAAAACAATTGCTCAAGCCAAAACAGTATGAAAGTCCTCATAAAAAAAACTTTTGCTTCTCAATCAAGCTGGTCAAATCCTTAATTCTTACAACTGAATATCTGAAAGGGAAGCAATTCTTAAAAGTCTACTAACCAAACAAATCTTCAATGTATAGCGCACGCGTCTTGTCATGACAACAGCGAAAGGGTAAACAAATTAAAACAGGATCGAATAGACTGTGTCCCCTGGAAACAATTGGAATATACGAACCCACGTTATCAAAGCCGATAAAGGAGCAATCACAACGTTCCAAGAGTCAGCACCAGAAATGGAATGATTCTGTTCAGTCAGCTGACCATCGAAGACAGATAAATCAGTTGTTGCAAAAAAATATGAACTTGCTTTCAGAACGTCGACAACATCACTGAAGAAGTTGAAAAAGCAAGCAAAAGACCACAAAAAAGCCAGAGGAGGCTGCCGAACAATAGGAACAAGTGCGGCAAACCTACAACTACAGGGACGTAAAGAAGCATTTCCGGGAGCTTCCTGCTAAATGCGGGTGAGTAAACCAGTGTCTGAAATTCAATGGAAAAAAGTCACAAAATTCTTCTGCATAATGGAACGTAACAAACGATTCATTCAAAATTAGATTACTGATTAAGAAAAAATTAGCATGAAAAGAACTCTCATTAGTTTTGCCGCTGCAGTATTTGATTCAATAGAGATATTTTCATTGACACTCCATTCATGGAAAAACTAATTGAGAGTGTTGGAGAGCACAGAAAATGACTATCCCACTAAGTGAAGCGCTAGGAGCAGGAAATTAAAAACTCGGTAACTTCCAGATAGATGAATGTTATTGTACCACGCGAAACATCCTTATGCGTAATCCAGTGATGGACGTATATAAGAATGCATCGAAACCAGTTTATTTCACACTCGTCTACCTCAAACAAAATGGGTAACAAACTAAAAAGCTTCATCTGATCTACTAAAAACAAAATTGGCTCCTGTTGAAAACTTATCCACCACACCAATAGAACTCTTGAGGGTTTTCTTGAAGGTAAAGTCAACTAAGTTTTGCTGCTAGAGAACAGAACTGCACTGAGCAATGCTTTGAAAAGCCAGTACCACTACTCTACATAAGATAAAGAAATTTTTCGAAGCAAACAGATTCATAAGTTATTGATTGGCAAGAACCCGAAGACCGATAGAAAAGGATGCTTCTACTTATTATCCAGATAGTGCAGTTTGAAAGAACTCAAATCTGGTCAAATATGATACCATGACATGGATTCAAGCAACGAACAAAGGATGGAGGGTCAAAACCTTATCGAGAATGCCTTGAGCAACTGTCACTAAGCACAATTAATTCGAGGCGAACCCGAAAACTATGAGAAAGCCATATTTTTGAGTGATATTCAGATCTTTAATATACCTGCCAGTCAACAATGGTTGCTAAATTATTTTTGCAATTCTGTTTCCTCCACAGTAAATTTGCTGACCAAACATCACCATGAACAATAACTGGAGTCATTCCTGTAACCATTTGATTTTTACCGCTCCTACTTCTAAAAAGACGGTCAAAAAAGAATAAAAGCTTCAAAGAACACTTGTTACAACTTTCTCATAATCCGTCCAAAATGATCCAAATCCAGTTCAGCAACAAGTACAGAAAGTTGGCAAAACTTTTGTAAAAAATGAAAACGCCAAATATGTTTTAAAAGCTTTAAAGGCTGGTAAAATTCCAACCAAGTATGACAAATAGCCACTAAAAAATTACATTCTTCTCTTTATCATAAATGTTCGGCACGAACTCCTTGTAGTTGCTAACCAAAACCTCATCCCATGGCCAGTATCAAAGCGAATGTGCATGTATTTTTGCTAATTCTTTTACTACCTCAAGGAGTGCAGCAAGGATAAACAAAAGACAAATTAACAAATGAACAATATTTTAACTTGAAAAAAGTACTTTCTCCGCTGGCTCCGAAGGCTCTAAATAAGCAGGTAACATTATAATACTGATGACAGTCCCAAAGGTATCATGAACTTTATCTTAATTACTTGGAGACATTCTGAAGTTGATATACCTTGACAGATGGGTATAATTTCAGGGTCCTGAAAGTCTTCGATAGCAAGAAACGCTTGACTGCCCTTGTTCATTACGCTGTCAGGAATATAACTCCGAGGTACTTTGGCTTCTAGTCAAGTACGATGGAAATATGCGTAAACGCTTATTTCCACATCATGAGACTGTAACTTGGGGAATCAATAAAGGAATAAAAAAAATAATGTGTACTTGGCATAAGATACGAAAATCAATTCTTTTAAGTTAAACGATTTAGTTACCCGTTTCGCTATTAACCGATAGTTTTTCCGAAAGCTTTCTAAAGTGAACTTAAACTGCCAAATGACTTCATCATTACCATCGTCATACCGTTCAAAAACATGTTCAATATATGGAATTTTTAAAATCAGAGAACTGGGTAAACTTAGCTCAGAATTTGCCCAAATTGGGCAGAATCGTGCCACAGCAGACATCGAACTCCAGAAAACACATTGTTCTTCAAAGCTAGCAGTTGTGAGGTGTAAAATTAATATTCTCACCATCCCAAGCGCAGTAATTTTTGATTTGCTTTCATTACTAAATCCCTTAGAGCCACCAAAAAGAACTTCAAATCTTTCCTGAACAGTGCTCCACAAAAGCTCCGTACCGACCAATGTCTCAACAGTACCGTTAACGCTGTTATTTCTGTTAACCATCTGAAAATCTCATCCAAAGAATCACTATTTCAAAACAACAGTTTTTTTGTATAGCCAAATGAAATCTTGCAAATCTTTCAATCGCAGCAAAGAATACCAACACGTGGCTCAAGTACTTCTGAAAGCCAGTGAACCGCTGGACCAAAACGATAACAACATGAGATTTCAGTATCTCCAAGCTTTAAACATTTTATTCTCAAGCAATCTGTAACAATGGACGACAAGTGACAACAAAGCTGTTCATCACAGAGACATCCTAAAATAAAAACAGTATGAAAAAAATAAACAACAGTCCTACCACACGAAACAGGGTAATTCGCTAACAAACAGACGGGATCTGCATCTGCACCAATGAAAGACAAAAAACGGTTTTTACAGGCCTTCTCCTTCCCAAAATGACCCCGGCGAAAAAACGCATGTCTGCTGAAATAATTCCAACTGTTTGAATACAGAGCTTGATATGGACTCAGACACGACTTTCTAGCATTCATGATATCCGTTATGGAGAGGCCGCACAGCCATTACGTAGCTCCAATAACGAAAAATTCAACTATAATAGGTCGACTAAGGGTAACTTATCGCTTTTTGAGTTACATGTTATTTTTCCCTGTCACTACGTAACGCCTGAAAAAGCCTGCTTCAGTTCCGGAAATCTTTTTCTTACCCAGGATATATATACAGGCGCCGTCATTTCTAATTTCCATTTCGTG